TCATAATACTTTAACATGACAACCAATCATTACCACTCATCTTCAGAATTTCATTTAACTGTTCTTCTTTGATAACATTCCATTGTTAAATACTTTTGACTGTTCTTACTATACACCTTACTTTTTTTTTTTAAAGGATTTCTCCCTCATTCATCATGTTCCTGATTATTAATCAGAGTTTCATTTTCTCCAGGTAAAAACAGAACTCATTTGCAGAGTATCATTCTGAATTCTCATCGCTGTATACCAAAAGACTTCCATGTCTGCCCCCGAGTCCCAACCCCATTGTCTCTGGCACTGTATAGTATCATAGAAAGGTTTGGGTCAGAGAGGACCTTTAGAGATTATCTAATCCAATCCCCCTGAAACACATATCCAATAGGGGCATCTTTCACACAATCAGGCTGCTCAAAAACACTCCCCTTTAATCCTGTGTTTCTTAACAGAGATGAGAACATGTCTCTGCTCTGATGTAGACAGAGACACAGGCACATATCCTTTCTGCTTCCTTCCACTGACATTCACATCACTTCCTCTTTTTCAAAATGTCAGTCTCAAGCWTCACCTTCAGCTTGTCCTTTCGGCTACTATTGTATTAATTCTCTACATTATTCCACCCTTTGCCATCTCCTGCCTGTTTAATACCCTTTCTTGTAACACATCTTTTGGTGTTGTCCAGTTGTGCTTTAAATGCACCATTAGCATTACAGAGGAAATGAAAATTACTAGGCACCCTTACTGGTTCATTCAACATGAATAAACATTTCCATCTGCCACAGAGCAAATCATTTCAATCTTTGACAAAACAAAAAACCCTCTGAAATCAATAGGAACATTGAGCCAAAATGAAGCAAGAGGTTTTTAATAAGTAATGGATATTAGTGCTTATACAAGCAAAGAGAATACTCATCACAATTCTAGCTTTAACATGGAGCATTGCATGGAAGAAACATGTCACAAATTATTATGGGACACAGCCATAACATTTCCCTGTCTTTATATCCGGCAAAGTTTATGCAAATATCCCAGGTAAATACATCTAACCACCCAAAGCAGTAACAAGAAGATCCTGATTTCTCTTTTCAAAGTGAAATTCTAGCACAAACACTATGACACCTAGGGCCTCCCTGACTTTAGATACCAGTAAATCTTTAATATAGCCTGACAAAGGGGATATATTCAAGCAAACCACACAAGCATCTGTCACAGCCCTTCTGATGGTAACAGAGGGAAGGTTATCACTGGCACTACCACAGCAGACTGACATTTCAAGCCAGTGTTTCAATTGCCATGRAGTATCAGATTACATGTTTTTGTTTAAGCACGGATGACTTTGAAACAGAAACAGGAATTTCAGCAAGCTGCAGGTTGAACAAATTGATTCTGCACGATTTATTTTTCACTTTTGCTCAAGAGAGGAAGTTTAAGAAATTTACACTACATGAGTCAAAGAAATTGATGGTTTTATACCAGCACTATATCACTGCCAGAAGTTCAAGCCAAACCAATCACTTTTTAACTAGAAAGAAGCCTGAGACATGATGTTCTGATCTCAATCTGAACTTCACAAAGTTCATGGTGGTTATGTTACGATTTGGCATTTGGCTTAGGATCTTCTCCACTTTGAACACTGAAGAATTCTTTTTTTAAAAAAGTAACAGCAGACTCTCCTCTATCAAGTTTATTAGAAATCAATGAATCAGCTCAATCCAATCTCATTTCAACATTGTAAGAAGTCTAAATAGGTGWCTTTTAGCACTGCAGTTATAATAAACCCCTCTAAGGCTCTCCGGGAGTCTAGTATGGATGTGAATTCCAATATGAACAGGATTTGAGGACATCCCTGAACAGATTTGCCTGATAATTACTGGCTCAACTGCAAACTTGRGAGAGGGAAGTATTCTTAGATCAACAGTGCCCTCTAATGGATTAGCGCTGCGTTGTGATGGTTTTTTCAGTACTGCAGTAAAAATCATTCTGTTTTCCACTTGAAATTAAAATTCAGGAGGTAGCAAAATATTTGCAGATTATGAAAGCCTAAAGACAGAAGGTATTTCTTCTGATTGACAAACGTGCGAAAATTGTATGAAGAAAGGACATTGTTCAAATCAAGAATCTAAAAAGAAACCTCTTAGGACCATTTGAATTTTTTGGAGGTTCAGTAAGTAAGCTTTGTACCACTGTTTGCAATATTCATACACACCAGAGGAGTTGACAGGGTGGCAACTGTCTAACCATTCTGTGTCAGGGCTTGATTTTGGTTTGCCTTCTGCTGCACTGCATTCAGTGATCTTTACAGAGCATCCATGAAKCAGAACGGAACAAATACCCAGTAAAAAGGCTGTATAAGGGTGTGCTTTCATGATCAKCTGAAGCAATTCTGAATTCAACGATGTTGAAAGGACAGATACAACATGCCACGCAACTGCACAAGCAATGGAGCCAACACACATGTGCACACACACAAAATAATTTTAAAATATCTGTGAAAATAGAAGGTGATGGGGGAGTGGAGCAGTCTTTGAGTATCTGAATCATATAATCTGCACTCTAAAAATGCAGAAAAGAGCAATCAAAAACCCTTCAACAGTGAATGGCTCTGTTTTGTATCAACATATAGACAGAAAAACTGACTCAGCACAGTGGGCAGAGCTGGGAGTGSTCCACATCAACAGAAAAAATTCAAAGCACTACTCATGGCAAGAAAGATGATCCCAACAGTTAGATTCAAGCAGAGTAAGAATGAAAGAAAAAAGCAAAAATTTTATGCCTGGTACTGCAATTCTCTAAAAGGGACATAACTATATTGAAATGACCTATCCCTCTGGAAGAGAAATTCCTCCGCAAGTCTGGACTTCTTTGCTCCTCAGTCAAAAAGCTCAGAACATCCATAAGGACCACTCAAAAATATTCAGGGTCATAAGACTGAATAAGTGTAAGGGCTGAAGGGAAAAATGAACAATGAACATCCACAAAAAGATTGTTTTCCTCGAAGAGAACGCATTCCAAGGATCCTCACTGATGAAACACCTGGAAAGGCCATGACGGAAAAGTAACTGAGCATTGCAGCACAGTGTGAGTCTCACAAGCAACAACTGTAAAGTAAGTGGGTTGACATCATTCTTCCTAAATGCAAGAGAACCTCAGTGAAATACAGGGTCTCAGAAAGGAGGAGTACTGTTTGCATTTTGGTTTTGTTCCTCCTGAAAGAGGAGCTGTAAACTTYACTTAAATAAACAAACTATGTGACACGTCACCAATTCATTACAACAACCAGGCCCAAGGACCTCAGTAGAGATAAAAGTACTGTGCTCAGCTACAGAGACCAATTTCTCTATGGGATGCTCCTTCAGTGAAACATATGCTGAGGGCTAAAATTCAAATGACACATAGCAAATACACTTTTGGTATCATAAATCATCTAAATAATTTGTGGAGTTTTGTTAAAGCTACAGAACAACATAAGTCCATAACCTGTATCAAGTTTGTGGCGAGTTGATCTTGGATGAATGTCAAATGCCCACCAAAGCTGCTCTATCACTYTCCTCCTCCCTCAAMTGGACAGGGGAGAGAAAATATAACAAAAGTACTGAGGGATGAGGTACAGGGAGAGATCACTCACTTATTACCATCATGGGCAAAGCAGATTTAACTTGGGCAAATCAGTTTAATCTTTATTTTATATTACTGATCAAACTAGAATAGGATAGTGAGAAATACAYTGAAATCTTAAAGCACCTCTCCCCCAGCCCTCCCTTCTTCCTGGCCTTAATTTTTGCTCCTGGTTTTCTCTACCTCCTCCCCACTCAGTAGCTTAGGGGGATGGTGAATTGGGGTCAGGTCATCACGCTTTGTCTCTCCTGGTCCTCCCTGCTCAGGTTTGCCACGTAGACCCACTACATTATTCTTGATTTGCTGGCTGTTGACTAATGTCAAAGAATGTAACTAACAAGTAAAACTTCCTCGGAGTACAGTAAGTAGAAAGAAAAACAGGTCTTCCTCAGTCTCAAATTTCCTGCCACACCCTGGTAAAGAATGGTAAGCTTTAATAGTGAACACTGCATGGTCCCTCAAGCACACCTAAATATTCACATAGAAGAGGGTAACAGGAGAGGAAGTGAGATCAACACCAAAAGAGGCCATTCGCATTTGAGATAGGGATTTGCCTGTACACAACTCTGAAAGAAGCATCAAGGCAAGCACGCTAAAATAGCTTCCCCAATACCATCCCAGGTTCCAGCCACTTGTGGGTAAGCAACTGCCTCACACAGAAATAGCACCTGCCATTTAATGTGCTGCAACAGATTTTTCTTCCACTAGTTCACACAATTACTCACTGAACCCAACCATCCCCATTTATTCCCTGCCTACGGCATCCTAAAGAGTTCCACAGCTAAGTAAGTTATATTATTATATGGGCATGCCCAAAACAAAACTAAAAGCCCTAGATTTTGGAAGCTGAAATGACAGGCCTACTTCCCATTTTTTAATGCTGGATTTGTTTAAAATATTACAGTGCACAACAGAAACTGGGCAATCTCTATTCCTAGAGAAGAAAAAGAACATCAGTTCTGAACATTTCACTGAAGTATCAGTTAAATACCACAATGTGCTTCTGTATAGCACATTTTTCAGAGCAGTGTATTATAAAACACTGAAACCAGTGCAGAAAATAAGCCTTCTGATTAAGTTGAGTGCTTATGGCCCACATTTTAAGAGTGAATTAATCCCAGCCCTGACACTAACATGTTGTGACATTCAGAGCTTTTCATTTCACCTCACTATAATTTCCTTTTTTTCTATTGTACAACAGACATAATGACACTTTGCCTACTTTGTGAAGCCTTCTGAGAATTGCAGCAATAAAGTACTACTACTATATAAAGAGATATGCATTTATATTGAAATGCACCTATTCAGAAAGAGCCATCAATTTCCAACTCACTAGTTAAACCATCTTTATAAGCTTTCATTCACGAAAAAGCACATGAAAAATTTACCTGCTCATTTTTGCAGATCCATACAGTACTCCCCTGAAGCAGAATAAAGATTTTGGTTTTGTATCCTTTCAGCTCAAGATACCCACTTTTCTCAGGGGTGACCAACGTTCGAGACTTGGAGTTATTATCAGACTGCAATTTCAAGGCATTGAGCACTGTATTAACCCAGTCATTTCTTTCTTCTAAACAAGAAAAAGAAATTAGTCAAAGACAGTTGGTTAAGCAGCAGCTTCATTCTTCTCTACACATTGTTTTTCTCAATGCTGTCACTATGATGGTATAGCTATGCCAAATAACACATAAAATGCACCTTTGAAGCAGAGGTGTAAATAAAAACAATGAGAATCTGCATCAGGGAGGATTTAGAAAGACAGCCATTCAGTTAACTCCCAGTAATCACCACATCAGTAGAAACAAACTGGTGATCAAGACTCTTTAAGTCATGAGTACTAGTTCTAAGATACTCTTTTCCATACAGCTTGAAACTGATGTGGCAGACAGCATGCTCACCTTCTGGAAGGCAGATCAATGGGGAAGAACTACAGCAGCTATGTAAGCAGAAACCAGGGAGGCTAAATATCATCTGTCCCTGAAGAGGCAAACCATCACCAGTGCTAGCCCATGCTTGCCTGTGCTTATAAGAAAAAACACTTGGCAGTTTACAATCTATTCCATTAAGGTGTGGTGGTTAAGCTTGATATTGTCAAGGGTACTGAGTAATCAAGAAAATGCATGTTTGAGTATCTTTGCATGCATTATTAATGGAACATCTTACAAATACATGAACACAGGAGGTGAAGTAATAAAGTTTCGCTCAGTCTCATTCACTATGTTCAGACATTCCACTGGACTAAGATCAATATGCTTTAATGCTGAGTAGTCCGAATGAATTAGATTTGCCTTATGCGATTGGAATTTCATGAATATTTCAACTGTTTGCTCTGAAAGACTCAGATCATGAACTAYATTGGGGGGAGGGGCAGGGAGAGATTGCAAGTTCTATACACAGTATGTATAAAGCTGGCAAAATTAGCGTGAAAGACTGCAAAGAGCACCACTGAAATAATAACATGCTTACTTCATAAATGGCATGTGTGCGACATGAAAGAACAAATACACAAATTTAAGTGTCATAAAATACTTTGAAGAAAACCTGACATATTAGCACAGGGATTGTGATCCAAGTGTTGCTGAAAGAAATTTGGTTTTAAAATACAAGTATGTATGCTCTCAAAATATTCCAGTAATCTTTTCAGAGTACTTTTGCATAGCTGAGGGCATCAAATTACTATAGAAGTGGTTCTTTCCAATGATATTCCACTCCAATGAAACAAAATCTCACTGCATCTCAGCAGGTTAGGCTCTAACTCACTGCCATCCCTTGTTTAGTTATTTATTTTGCCCCCAAAAGCCCCTAAACTTTCCAAACCATCATGTGCAGCACTTTTACCTCTAGATATTTAAATCCATCCAAAAGTAATGCATTTCTGATATCTCAAAATACTACTAACGTCTCCATTTCAAAATCTTTGAATAGCAGAACCCTTTGAATAGTCCCAGAACAATTCCCAACCAAAAATCACAGAAGTAACAGCATCAAATAACAGATTTGTGCACATAACAGAAATCAATCAGGGTTATTTACATACTTTACTGGGAATACATCATTCAGTTCTGGATACAGTAAGGACCAAATTCCTCATACAATAAACATTTCTAGCCTTAAGTGAACAGCTTCACAGACAGGTTACTATTTCCAAAGACGGTTATATACTATATGAAAACRGAATTTCATGTATAACAAGTGGTTGCTCTGAATATATTTTACAAGTCACTTTAAGTTTTTAACATTTTTATAGTATCTGAGGCAAATGTGCATAAAACAAATTGCAGCCCTACTAAATGTATTGTGCTAAGATGGTTATAGTCTAATTTATGGAAAAAAAAGTTAAAATAAATTTGGAAGAGAAATGCAAAAGTAATAAAGAAATACATACTTTTAGACTCAGCTAAGAGCATAAAAATGACTGAAATTATTTGAGGCAAACCTGATAGGAAGGATTTGTTCACTGATGCTGCACTCCTGTTACAGCCTGCAGCAAATGTTTACAACCAAGCTATAAACCCATAAAAATGGGATTTGATAATGGAAATGCTGAGAGACCCTTAGCTAGAATGGCTCTGGCATGCACTGCTGTAAATACATATTGCACAGCTCTTTTTTCTAGGCATTCATTTTCATTTGTTTCCATAAATAAATCATACATGCACTGATATTGATTCCACATATTACAGCTGTAGGTTGATAAAGCATTCAATTAGAAGTCATATTAACTTCCTTGCTACAATTTAAATTTGTAATCTCTATCAAAACATGGCTGAAAATAGTGTATGGGACAGAAAACCTCAGATTTCCTTTGATTACAGCATCACATCATTCATTGCCTCTTRGTCAATTTTATATCAAGTGGTTACTCAGAGATGTCTGAAAGCCCAGATGCTCTAAGAGTCACTAGTGAGACTTGAGAAATATCCAGACAAATTAATCTTTGGGAAGGATGGGGTAGGAGGCAGAAGAGTTGGGAAAATATTCTTCTCATTGTGATATTTGAAAAAAATTTAAAAATTAAAATTTGAAAAAAGCCCTTCCTCAACGATTTCCGTTATTCTTACAAAGTTTAGCATTATCTCCAGTTTCACTTTATAAGCTCAAACCAACTGGATTCCAKAAATATTTCTGGTAATATAACAAGCTATATTTCACAATCAGAATTTATCAATAGTGATTACTTTTTGGCAATTTTTAGAATTACACATCTTCTACTTACCTTCTTTATCCACACGGAAAACAAAAGTCCTATGGGACGTGACAACTTCAAACTTATTCTCCCCAAGAACTCTTACTGTTGCTATAGCTGAGAGCAGTATTATTCCCTTTGAGAACACTTCCTGCAATAAAAAAGCAGTCAAAATATTTAATTCTCATGGAATGTTAAATTTGTCTCAGGTAATACTACTTGTCATGATGTTTAGGAAGTTCACCACACTTAATAAAATTGCATTAATAAGTAAACCCCTTCAATTCCTTCCTATCACCAACTTCACTGTTCTGGATCTATGCACATCTACTACTTTCTAAAATAGAATAAAATTCCATGACGAGACAGATTGTGCATATTTGAGATACAACTTCATAAAGTGTCTCATGGCATTAATATTGCAAAACATCACACTCTTTAATTTACAATTTTATGCCGAAGTAAATTACATTTACTATCTCACAGAAAAATAATTTTAAAATATAAAATTATTACACTTGTATGATAGAATCAGACATGGGAAAAATACTGTACTTTCTCCAGGCAGAGAATTCTAAGCAATTTGGAATTCCAAGCAATTTCTCCCCACACCTTGCCCCCTCAGTGGGTAGACAATAAGAACCTGGGAGATGACACAGCCTGGACAGCTGACCTGAGAGATATCCCATACCACACAGCATCATGTTCAGTGTATAAAGCTGGGGGAAGAAGGCAGAAGGGGGAATGTTCAGAGTGATGGAGTTTGTCTTCTTAAGTCACCTTTAAGCAGAATGGAGTCCTGCTCTCCTGGGGATGGCTGAGCACCTGCCTGCCTCTGKGAYGTGGTGAATTAATTCCTTGGTTTGCTTTGCTTGCGCATAGCTTTTGCTTTACCTCCTAAATTTCTCTATCTCAACCCACAACTTCTCATGTTTATTCTTCTGATTCTCTCTCCCATTCTGATGGGGGGGGGGGGGGGGGAGGGTGAGTGAGTGGGTGTGGGGCTTGGGTGCTCACTAGGGTTAAAACACAACAATTTGGGTTCAGCACAAATTTTCCTAACATTTTTAAATTTCCAAGTAGGTATTAGAACAACTGAGCAGAACACAAATGCAAGATAGGAAAAACGAACTGCTACAAGYACTTCTTTCCTTCAAGCAGCTTACCTTTTAACCTAATTAACCWAAGTGTTTGGGGTGGGTGTTGAGGGGAAGGAAAGCTCAAGCAGACATGCACTTTTTAAATACATCTGCATGATTTCTAGGTTCCAGRGTTAATGCTACTCCTGTCTCTGCTATGCTTTGATCAATTTGTTTTTTGACCAAGATAATTCAGATATACTGATAAAATTTATAAACCAGATGCAGTAATAGCCCAAGAGTCGGCTCCCCATTAAAAAAAAAAAAAATAAATTGTGCTGTAATAATAATTTATACTTTGGGAAGAAAGTTATAACAGACTTCATACAACCACTCAAGGAACACTGTGAATGCAAAGCATGAAGGATACCCTGCATCTTTTTTTGTTTACTGAGTTTAATATACTAATGTTATTTCACTTGGAGGTACTAATACATGTCAGTGAAGGTATTTTAGGGGATAAATAAACAGAAATATTGAAATGCAGCAGAAGRAAGCACGTTACTATAGTTACAACAAATAGTCAGAAAGATCACAGAACTGCATAACTATTATCATCATGGTTACATTTGTAAAAAGAGTGATTTTAACATATTTGTAAATAAGATTGTTATGTTGATAAGGATATTATTTTAATTATTAATCCTTCCAATGGCAAAATAAAATTTTTACATATACTGTTTCTGTAGGTATTCAGTTATAAATATGTTATGGTGTTTGCAGGCATCTACTGGCTGTATTTGGTATTACTGCAAGAGAATAAAAGACTGCTGCAAGTTACAACTATTTCATTTCATTTGCTCAAAAAAAGTCAATTTCCTTTTCAGCTGAGTTTTGCTTTGCTATTCAAACAATCATCCATCATCCTTTTTAAAGCTTTGTTCTCCAAGGCACACATATTTTCAAATACAGTTTAAACCATAATAATTTATCAATCTATCTTTCTTCTGCAGTAGCTTTTCTTTCATGTGCAAAARTAATGCCTGTTAAAAAGCTCTTGTAGATCAAGATACAATATCTCTCTTTGAAATACTCCAGACTAGAAATTATGTGAATTATTCAAGAATATAGAAAACAAAACCAAACAAATGCAGCCAAGAACTTCACAGGTATTTATTCTGTTACTGAGTGGTGTAAACTAGTTTTAGAGCTGCTAAAATTTTTCTGACAGAAACATTTTCTAGTGGGGAAAGAAAAATGTTTTGGGGRGGCTTTTTTATATTAGCTGGTTCAATAGAAACTTCTGTTTTCAAATACAACCCCATGTCACTCCTTGACAGTTGTGAAAATACCATTTTGGACTGCTTTGGCTTACTTCCAGAACAGATTAAAWACAACCTATTTCAAAAATGACAATGATTCTTCTGTTTTGCAGTGAATTTTGTTCTTTGGTATGTTCACATGTACCATAACACAACAAAATATTGAAGTTCTCCATTTGAAGAGGCAAGTCTTTTTCCTAAATCACTAATATACTTGTCARGGATGCTAAGCTGTTTTTAAAGAAAAACTTTCAACAAAACCAGAAATTTTTGCCTTACTATAAAGTGCATGGTAAAACACCAGGGTTCTACCAAAAGTAGGAAGAAATTTGAAACAAAACTTGTGCATATAGGTAGCTGAAAAAAATGCTTCAATTCTACCTTCCCTTCTTCAGTTTGMTCTCACTTCAGTTAACCACACTCTGTTAAGAAAAAGCCACATGGGGTGTGTCTCTGATTACATCAACTTTCCCAGAACTAGAAATGTAGAAGAAATGAGAGCAACACAGATTCAAACCAAAACCTTCCCTAGGTCAGATGCTGCTTGTTAAAAACTAAGTATTTTTTCATGTATGCAGATACAAAGTAAAGACGATATCTCTAACAATTAGAAGCTGATGCACAACTAGACCAAGGTTAGAAAAAAATTTATAAAATTAAGGTTTAAATCATTCAGAGAGGCATTCATATTGACACTTTCAGGAATAATATTCTCTGTGTCTTCCAACTCTATTCTCCAATGACTTCACTCTTCATTAGCCATGTAGTAACTTCTCCTTCTTGAGAACCTCACTCKTCTCAAGTTTCTCATTTGAATGACAAATAGAGCCATTTAATATTGGTAGTGTTTCTGAGTAAAAATAAACAGTTTCATTCCAATGAGTCTAACCTTCTCTGCTTGTAATAAGAAGAAAAATATCAAGTATGGATTGGTTTCTCTTGGAGAACTACTTTTAATTGATACGTGAAACCGAAAGTAAAGTTTTTTTTCAGCATTCTTTTCTGTGTTGGAGTRTCCTTAGACAAACATAAATCAGAACAGAACTGAACTTGTCATTGAGTTCTAAAGTTAAAACAACAACTTTCCCAATTAAATACAGCTATTTAGGAGGGGGACATGCAAGGAGCTTGAGCTGCATRCAGGTCTTGATGGGTCTGCAAATAGCTATTTATGATGTCGAGATAACAACACACAAGCAACAGCAGGAAGATGCTGATATCCACATATCTCACAGGAAATATGAACACAGCAGGTGTGGGGACAGTGATCCAGCAGAGACCACTGCACAAAAACTCGTGTTCCCCTGTGAAACCACTGCGCACTCAACATAATCCCACTGGGCACTGAGAAATACGGGCACCCAGCTATGTGTTCCTCCGTCTGAAAGCTAATTTGAGTTTCACCAAATCCGCAGTTCCCGGAACGTGCTTCAGGCCTTGCAGCTCTCAGATATAGAGCTTTCTTCACAAATGTGACTCACCAAGTTAACAAGTCAGACACCAACATTTGGCCACACTGTACACACACACTGACCAACCAGCATATCCTTCAACAGCCAGAGAGAGGGTTGGACTCYGATTCCAGGGAAAGTGGGACAGAGGCTTCAACACAAGTGTTTGCCAAGCTCCTGATAACCTAACCTACCACAGACCTTTTAAACAGAGGATGCAGGGTTGGTAGGTTCCTATGCATCATGTGACACCCTAAACATCCCCTTGAGCAGAAGAGAAGGTTTCTGGAATCTCTTATGACAGACAAAGGCATAACAAGTACTATTCCAGCACAAGTGACCTCCAAGTAACATTTTCAGTAACTTTCAAAAAATAAAAAAAAAAAANAAAAAAAAAAAAAAAAATGGAAATCCCAGGGCAGATACAAGACTTAAGATTATTAGCATTTCTTTCCCTAATTATGCTACCGACAGTGTTAAACAAATCCCATTGCTGCATTTTTTCAAGTCTTTCTTAATGACTAACCCAGCTTTTCTGCTCCTCTGAAGCATTGGGATCAATACCACGACGGGATAACATTTTTTTGTCACTGCAATCCAAACATTATTCTATTGTTCCCTTCACCTACAAAATCATGACTCCTGCTGTAAGTGAAGCAAAGTATGTAAATAAAACTAGATTGTTTCAAGTTCACWATCAGTAGGCACAAATATCAATGTAAATAATTTGTTGAGCTTGTTCTTAGCTCCCCAGCCCTCAGAAAATAAAGTCCTATCCTACTCCAGCATCTATAGGTCTCTAATTGATTACCACCAACCAGCATTCTGTTTCAGAACTTTTACCCAAAATCATATTTTCTTCCTAATGTAATATATATCTTCAACAGGAAATGGTTTCCAGCATTTAAAGTAACACATATGCATATAACCTCAACTTCCCTTAACATGCATCCTGTACAATCATCTTGAGTCTAAGAAGGCCTTTATTACTTTCAACAGGAAAATATAGCAAGAAAACCACAGAGCAAAAGGAAAATAATTTTGTAGTGCTCTGAAAGGCAATTACATGGAGTTGCAAGAGAAGTACAAGGACTACACACTTTGCTGAAAACCATGGTTTACAAATGCATTTTTGTATCGTACATAAGAAGTTAACTACTTTAAWCAAAGCAGCTCATGAGTCTGTGAATGTTTCAGCAAAATTCAATCCTCAGGCACAGAAGCAAAAACAGCCATAGACATTGCAGTACTGGGCTGGTTTTGAACATTCCCATTCAAACCCAACCTAGTTCAATGACATGCAATTGTTTATCAAAGACAAACAGCAAAAAGGCATTTTTAATCAAAGAGTCAAAAAGTGTATAGGTTTGGTTTGTTGTTGTTTTTTTTTTTTTTTAAAGGCCCACCATGCCACTTTTAAATTCTCTCTCACAATCTCCAGCATGCTAGGTTCCCATGGCAAGACACTTTGCAACCACCATCAAAATAACATCTCTCAACAGTGTTTAGTATGATCCTATTCTGTTCTACAGATTGCAGCAATGTCAGTCTCTCCCTAAATTAAAAAAAAATCTGATTATATCACCTGGAAAGGTGAGTAATACAAGCCCATCTAGGAAATAAAAGGATGAACAATACATAAAGACAACGACACCTTAAAATATTTAGTAACATCTCACCCTAGTACTGTAGAATTGAACGTTAATTTAAGATGAGTATTAATTTGTAATTATACAATAATTTCTTTATGGTAACTTGCATATTTCACAGGTGCATTTTGTTCCAAACATGACCAAAACACATCCCTTACCTTTTCATTGTTGTAATAAGAAATGCTCTCTCCATCGAATTTAACCCAGCGCTTCTGAAACACACGTTTGCTGTGAATCAAAAATTAACACAATTAATACGCAGCTAACACTGGTTTTCAAGAATGTCTCAACCACAAATTATAGAAAGGTCAAATCATGTTTAGCTTCCTGTTCAACAGAATATTCTGAACACAGAGCATAACTTCACCTGCTACAAGCTCTGTTAAGATACTTTCCAAAAATTAAAGCTGAGATCTACAAATGACCATCTCACTGTCACACTTACGACAAGGACATCTCTGTTTACAGGCTGTGGTACCTCCAGCCATCAATATCCTCACATCTCCCTAAGACTGTTTCCTGGCCAATGAACAGATAGCAGTCACACCACATCTCCTAACAAGTACAACATGAAAATTAATTTTCAATGTGTGTTATAAACTGGGTATCATTAATGAGAAACTCCTCTGATTACTTCAGTGTGCCATTAAATCACACCCTGTAAGGACCTTCTAAAAACAATATTTTTACATCAACCTGAAGTAGTCCATTACACTCATTAAAAATGTTGACAGCCTGTTAGTTATCATCTATAAATGTCTCAGTTCTAAAATCTATTAAACAGGTTAATTAAGCAAGCACAAGACCCCACTAATGTTTTTTCCCAACATTACTTCTTTTCTTGTTAAATGAGTCCTCCGCTTTAGGATTAGGAGACTGTGATAACTTATCAAAACTTTAATCAAATAGCAGCTCTGGCTTAATTAACTTGTATTATATGACTACAATAAATCATCATTTTTCATAACCTGGAAAGGTCAATGTACAATCTATTTTCCATTAAAATGTCAATAAACTCAAGATTATGCAAGGAAGAGTGAACTTAAGTACCACATATAATGTGAGCAAACTGTAGGCTGTACAATTTATAGTGGGTTAACTAAAATAAGAGAGGCCCTACTTTAATTGCATGCTTTGTAGCAATTTAAGAAAACAGTATATATTCTTTTCCCTGAGGAGTCACAAACTGCCAGGTGTAAATTGGAGTTCTATAAAAAGAATGGGAGGTGTAGAACAGAATGAAATATTCTGTAGGTGGAAAGTGAAATAAAATATGATAGTGCTTCRATAGTTTGAAAGAAATAATTCTTTTTTAAATTTGGTTGGATTTTTTAATTCTTCAGATGTTTGAGAAATGGTATTGTAAGAAAGAGAAACAAAAGTGTATCATTCATTGAACCGCGCTTGGGAAAAAGACCTTGAAACRTAGCCGTGGAGTGTCCAAGGCTAATGACCTGCCACTGTTCTACTCAGTACTAAGCACTATGAATTTTGTGGTTAGTTCACCATCTTTTCCAAATAATGTATTCTCACACGGCACTTTATTAAAGCTTTCACAACTTGTTCACAACTCTACGCCCTCAAACAGTGCAAGACAAGCCAACTGGAATCAAGGACTATACTTTTTATCACTCTGCTAGCTGACTGCCAAAAGTGTTGTTTAAAAAAAAAATCCTGTGAGTAAAATACAACAAAAGTTACAACTGCAACTCCCCAAGAAGTCAGTATATTAACAATTCTGAAAAAAAAGAGAAGGAAAAAAAAAGAAATATGGAAAAAAAAGAAATATACTGGGGAAAAAGTCAAAAAATCTTTTGATTCTCTGTATAATTATTCTTTGATTCTTTAGCAAAGGTGAACAGTAACAATCCATAAATGTGAATGAAACTTTTGAAACCATTTAAAAAGGAAAGAAAATAGTTTTGAGCACCTTGAAATTCTCTGATGGTAAAAGAAGTTTATTAAACCTACCATTCCATCTTATTATTCACCTTCAACAATGTATCACTGTATCAACACAAAGTCAAAATTAAAAAAGATAAAACTTGTCAAATCAGAATCCTTAGAAAGGATCAAGAAAAAAAAGGAAATTGCTATACAACAGAGCTGCTTCCAGTGGGTTCAAATCAGACTTTACTCTAAAACTATTTAATTAAACAAATTTATTACTAAACTAAAAAAAAGAAAAATAATTGCAATACTACTTGCTGAGCAGTGATGATTATTATAACCACAAATAACCAAAGGAAAAGCCAAACAGTTTAACACCTTTCAGTGCAACCAAAAATACACTCCTAAGAACAAAGAAAGCAGATCTACTAATRCTTGAACAGAACTTGTAGATTTATTACAGCACTAACAAGTACAACAGCTTTAATTTCGAAATGCTAAGTACTAGTGAGGATCAGAAACAGACTTAAAAAGTAAAATTGTGCCACTTTCAATTAAAAAAAATCATAAAATAAATGGAGAACTGAAAACTACTATTTGAAAGGAGGAAGTTAGAAGAATTTCATCATTTTGCAAGTATTTATAAAGGGGAGATCCAATAATGAAGCTCTCTTTAGTGAAAAACAGTTTAACAATAGCYTGAGTTTAAAATAAGTTAAAATAAAACAAAAAACTTAGAAAACAAACATAAGATTTGCTATTACTGTTGTTGTTTAACTTCCAAATGAGGCAGAGAGAATTCATTTTCTATTGTTCTCCCCTGTCCTCTAAATTATTTGAAATTTAAAACAAGACTTAAGCTCAGATTCCTCCCATTAAATTTTAGGCACAAAAATAAATTAAMCAGGTGAGAATTCACCCCAGGTGAATTCTAAACTCAAAGTTCAACTCATACACACAGAAAGCAATAGGATCTCCCATCACACTAATTATTAAATTACAATCCATGGCCAAATTAGTAGTATTTCAGAATCAGAGCTTGTTTTCACTTACTTTGTGGCCCACAAAAAATCAGAAAAAATGTAACAACTGGAAATGCTGGTACAAATTAACTCTGTATTTTCCACTATATTTTTCATAAGTGGTGACCAACAATTTTAAGAAAAATATTTTTTCTGAGTGCATCCCGTAATGAAACTTTAGGACAGAAAATATCAAAACATAACTTAAAACTTTTGAACTCACAAAAGCCTGGTGCTCTTTCAACAAAGAMAATTTCCTTCCCCCTCCCTCTACAGATACTAAGCAGTAGCCAAATACAAACTTAACATCTCTGATGCAAATATTCATTGTCACAATTATGCAATAATCCCTGCAAATACCATACCCTTGAGGGGATAATTTATCCAGCCATCCTGCTTTAACCTTCTTCACTGATGGTCCATAAAAGCAAGCATATGGTGTTATTGATTCATTTCCAATCAAAGTTTGATCTCCACCAAATTGCCCAAAATTCGTATGTTCACTGGCCAAGCAATCAGAATCCTCACTTTGTGTCTTACTACAAGATGCTGAATGTGTTTTGGCTTTATTTTTCTTTTTCTTTAAAGGCAAAGAACGTTGATCCACAACAGAATATACAGATTCACTTTCAGATTCTTCTGGTGTTAATGATTGGTCTTCCTGAGATGTGGATTCATTTTTTGAAAATTCTTTGATMTTCTCTTTCTGGTTATTAAAGTAACTGGAAAGAAAAAGTGCATTTTACTCTTAAAATACATTACTACAATGGACAAATACATAAAACTAGTAATTAGAATAAATACTGGTAAGACATAAGGATGTTTATAACTAGTATAATCATGGTGATAACCACAGACATGCACAACCTCTCTTATAACTGACCATCCTGAATCGTGCTTTCTCCATTCAACACAAGAATGGAGAACCAAGTACCAAAATAACATTCCTTTAGAAGCCTAAACAGAAATTTCAAATTAATTMATCTTCCTTCAAGAACTAGCTTTTGCTAGTTTGCAAACTTTGGAGGACTTGCAGTATCACTTCTCTCTTCCTTGTCTACCTCAACAGGAGCCTGGTGCAGACTGGATGATTAAGGTTCCCACTTCATCAAATCACTGACCACTGCCTCATGACARAAGTGGTGAATCAGTTTTAGTTTTGTGTTTGCTTGGGTTGGTTGTTTTTTTTTTTCCTAATGAAGAAGTAAATTATGAGAGCACTCAGCACTCACAGTTAGCTCGCAGCCATACAAAAATAGAACTTGCTCTTCCTTATTCTGCTGAAAACAAGGATGTTTTCCAAATTCACAAGAGATTCTGAAACCTGGTTTAGACAGCCTTAGAACAGCCACAGAACCTAGCTTTGCCTCTTATAGGATGGGGTAAAGGCTCAAATAGGAGAAAATAACCCAGTCATGGTTGTGCCTTCAGAGCTAGAGATCTATTTGTGACCTCAATAAATAACGTTTTCTATTTTATACTTGAGTTTCTCTGTAATTCTTATTTAATACCATAGATTCTTGGAAGAATATTCTTCATTTGTTCCTAGATCAAATTTATTTTCAGAAGCCAGGAATTCATTTCCATGAAGTTCCTAGAAAAGAAAGAAATTGTAACCAACATTTGTACAGAAGGAATAAATKATATTTACATTACCATAGACACAAACCACACACAGCCTAACCAGTAAAGCTCTTCTTTCCCATGTTTTCAAACATGCATTTGAAAACTGATTGTTGTATTCTAMGAAATTTTATTTTTAGAAGTTTTATTTTAAATAATAATACTCAGATAAAACATTTAAGCATGGTCCAAATACCCAATGCAAACATATCAGATATAAATTCAATGCACAGAAGTATCAGTGCTCTGATTTTTCTTGAGCCACCACTGACATCCTGGTTTGGGCAGCAATAGAGTTAATTTTCTTTCTAGTAGCCGGTACTAGGGCTATGTTTTGGATTTAGTCTGAGAATAATGTTGATAACACATTGATGTTGCTGRGTACTKCTTACACTAAGTCAAGGACTTCTCCRTTTCCCGTGCTCTGCCAGCAAGCACATGCACAGGAAGCAGGAGGCAGCATGACCAGGACAGCTGACTCCAACYGGCCAAAGGGATAGTCCTCACCACAGAGCATCATACTCCCTCCTTTCCACTACAGTTACTATCAGCATTAGTATTATTATTATATTTTGCTTTGTTATAATTGTTAATCTGTTCTTATTCCATCATCCAAGAGRTTTACTTGTTTTCAGATTCTCCGCACAAGGGGAGTGAGCGAGCAGCTGTTGCCAGCTGTTGTTCTATTTGCCAGCTGGGGTTAAATCATCACAACTGAATATTTTTTAAGCTCAAGAGCCACATGTTAAATGCAGCTTAAGTATCATTTATGATTTGCCACTGCCAGCCCAACTTTCATATCAACACATCTCAGAAAAAATTTACAGCCTTCATAGTACACTAAAGATAAAATCACAGCAAGCTCAAAATCCTAAAATAACACTGAACTTGGACATACCGAATATATCGCATTGGATTTTTTTGGCCAAGATCTTCTTCCTAAAAGTCTCATTTATTAACTTTTGCTTAGAAATCTTTATCACAAACTGCTTGCAGTGTACAAAATGTCAAGGTTGACACTGCTCGTGAACATTACATCTCACACTCCCTAAATTTAATCTGACAATCATACTGCACTACAAAGCTTCTCAATATGTGTCTTTCTTTAAAAAAATCCTAAAATTGACATCTTCATGCCTTCTGATTTACTCATTTAAGTAATTTAATTTACTCATTTAACCTTTCATGTGTACGTAACAAAGCTGAACAATGGCAGSAAAGAAGTGGATAAGCTTTCACAATATTGCCATTTTTTTTCTGAGTAGCAGCACCTAATCTTGTTCTTGAGGACCGTACCTTGGCAACGTGGAAGGGCAAAAAAAATGGACATAGTMCAACGCAGAGGAAGATGGACTGCAGCAAAAATGTAGAAATCATTGCCTGATGCTAGGATAAATCTAAGTGAACTTTCTATCTTTCTCTGCAACCAGATCCATTACAAAAAATAAAAACCCACCAAAACATATCCACCCACACATCACAGTACACCAAGATGCATCACTGTTGCACCAAGGGCTACAAAAGAAAACCAAACCAAACAAAAAGCAAAGGCAACCCCCCACCAACAAAACCAATGAAGAAAACCCTAAAAAAGCCAAAAACAATCAAACAAACAAAAAAAAAGAAAAAAACAACAACCAAAATGCATCCATACACTTTGTAAACAATTTTAATAGAAAACGCAAAAGCAACCTATCTACTGCTTATCAAATACTTGGATTGCTTGGAATCACACAAAAGAAGGGGAAATGGGCACACCTCTACCCAAGAGTCAAAAAGCCAATATCACAGCCCATGAAACACCTTCAGACTAAAAGCAGTTAGTATCCTTTATCKTCATTTACTTATCAGGATGCAATTGCATACCCTACCCACTGAAGCTAATGGTAGTACCTCCTCCCCCCATCATGAACCATTCCAATAGCAATCTGATGTCCTACTTGTGCTCACTCCATAATCTTCAGCACTTGGGCAAGTGAATTCAGTGAGCCAGGTAATTTCCAAGCAATAATTAAGAAATGCATTTCTATTGTCATTTAAATTTACATTTAAAATGTAAAAGTCCACAAATGAAGACTGTGGGTAAAGGAAGTTCTATTTGCTCACAAACACGTATTTCACACTAATTTAATCCCAAGCATTACTTTCCAATGTCCTRTTTACAGAAATACCCTGCAAGATGCACAGGCTCAAGACAAAATCCCCACCTCTTCCAAGTCTCTGAGGTATTATACAAAGGTAGCAGCACCTTCTCATGCAGTCACCTTCACAGAGAGAAGTATTTCTTCTATTTATGTGCAGTTCTTATGCCTAGGGAGCACCTACCGTTAAAGAAACCTGGCTTCTGGGTCCCAGACAGATGGAACTGTCTACTCACAGGTCTGTATGAAAACCCKCTACTTTCAATCAGGAAGTAATTCAGATACACTTCTGCTTTTAGCTTTTTCTAACAGATAGTCGTCCTGATTTCAACAGCAAGACAGGAAGCCCGAAAGCTAAAAACACAGACTGCATGAAGGGTATCAGGACTGAGTCTACATCAAATGAAGATTGAACACCACGGAGGAGAGGCATCTTCCTCAGGAGGTACTACCTTGGTCTCCTGTTAATGTCACACAGTTCTCAGGCTAATTCCTGAATCATGGCTTGGCAATACAACTTTATAATGGGTCCATAAAGATAAATTCCTCCTTTTATAATATTAAAGCTTCTTATGTCAGATTTGCAATCAGGCCAGCCTTCACAGTGTCCCAATGTATAGGAGCTCACACAATTTACCAAGCTCAGCATAAATGTTTAATTTAGTCTGACTGTCTACAGCAAGAAATAAAGCCAATATTTCACTCTTGAGACCTAAACTCATTAGAATTCAGTTTTCCTCTGAAGSAATCTTAATACACTTGCCTCTTTTAGTTAGATACAAAACTAAAATGGCTCTAAAACATTTGGATTTCTGTGGATTTTAGAATCAATATAAAAAAATCCAGTTCCTTCTTCAGGTTGCCCTTCAGAGGTTTCTCTTTCTACTTGTCTTTCTTGCTGACCCACATAAAAGGCGTATTTTCTTCTTAACCCTCATTCCCCTGTTCTCTCAGGCTCGCTTAGTTCCATTCTGTAGTGACTCATCACCTATTTCTACAGGCACTCCCTTCATAAAAGCCCACAGAAGACTTTTCTTAACACCAATGAAACACAAAGAAGGGTGATGGCCAAACTTACAAGCCCTTAGAAAAAATTTCAGTCACTAAGTATAACAACYTGAACCTTTTATTCTATATAGACAAACTATACTCTCTCATACAACTTAACACAAAGGAGCAGCAACAAGCTCTAAAATCTCAGATATTTTACAGTTCTTGTTTGTTCCTAGGATATTTGCTAAAAAAAAGTCTGAAAGTGAAATGTATCTCAGGATGTTTGTTTTATGGTTCTTCTTTATTACCTTTGCAATTAAGTTGTAATGGTACTAAAATCACTATGAAGTTTTCAACAAGTATGTGATCAGCAYAACACAAGAAACTGTTCACATACGTGAAAGTGATATTAAAATCCAGATCAGGTAGAGGATGCTATCATATACTGCATTAATCATGAATCCACAACCAGCAGAAATAGCAGTTTAATTTCAAGCAGTTAGTCCAGTTTAACAGCATGGGATTTTTGTACTCAGTGCCTTTGTAAGATAGAAGAGTGCTGACAACCCWTCTGGGTATGTGTTTTCATAACCAACCATTTCAATGAAATGTACAGAATAATGCCAAGAAGTAACAAGAGGGCTAGGAAACTTTTTCTAGCAAATCAGCTTAAGACATTGAAATAATAAAATGTTAAATTTTTAAAGAGTCAGCACAGACAAGAATAACTAGCACCGACAAGACATTGCGCAGAAGGAAAGCAAATGAAAGCTAAACAATCAGCTTTGTGTGCACATAAGAACAAGAAAGAAAGACAATGCATGATTTTGTATGTACCACCTTAAACAGTCAACAACAAAAAAAAGCACAGTATACTTCCAAAAGAAAGTATGATCAAAAATAGATTATTTTTGCTCCTATAAAACTACTCTCACTAGAAGGTGAAACTAGAACCATTAACTTCGATTGGTGAATTCTTAAGAAATTAGAACTGGAGACAGRAAAACCCTAGGCATCCATTAGAGTAGCTTTTATTTTAGTCAATAGTTCACAATAGTTTAAAAGATGAAATATTAGAGAGAAGACCAAGCCAGAAGAATTTTCTGTTATCTTTAATTTCTGTTAAGACTGGCTGGAAAAATTACAAGTAATCACAGAATCAACAATTTCTGGTCTGCATTCTACTGAGACAGAAGCAGGAGCTAGAAATTCATGGCATTTGGGGCAGATGCTTCTCTAAGTTAATTTACCTCCCAAATCTCCCTCCACGTCATTCAGAAGTCTGCCCACATGCCATTTGTGGCATTCACACCATCAACTACTGACCCCAACAAAAACATTCACGTCACAGAATCCTAAAAGAAAAGTCACTTTCTGCGTATACAGAGATTCATGAGAACTTCAGGAGATGCATGAAAAATATCATGCAAGATCCAAAAAATCCTGAGAACTTTCACACACAGGAATTGAAAAAGGTATGGCCAAACATGACCATCAGATCACCTGAGCTAATGTGCAATCTGCTTTCACCAGATATGCAGAAGTTGGTGTAGAGATGCTCAGTCTTGACCTGCAATTCTCAGGTAAGAGAAAAGCCACTTTTACCCTTCTTAGTAAATTCTGACTGTTATTCACTGCTTAACCTCAATTATGCACAAAGGATTGCAGGACCTGTACCTGAGAGCATAAATATGGCATGTCTGGGCATTGGGCACCAAAAAAAAAAAAAAGAAATATGAAATAAGTCAGTTATCTGTCCTATGTTGGTTTAAAAAAMAATTTAAAAGAAACAACCAACACACAATACAGGTTCCTATTACTACTGAACATACGAAGTGTCTCTTGAKATTAACAAAAGTCAAAAAAATTAAGGACATGTGGAATATCTAACATGAAGATTTAAGTGAAGATAGACTACATATATTCAGGCTTCTCGACTTACTTTAGCATCATTAGCGTTGTCACAAATAAAGGTTTCCCCATACGGAGAGATAATGGGAGGCTTTTCTTCTATGGAAGTATCTTAAAGAAAACAAATAAATAAATAAATTAACAAATACAGTCACACAGTGCTCTATTGTGAGTCACAAATCTTCTACTAAAGTCATAATAAAATGAAAAAGGGACACAGTTTTTTAGGTTTGTAATTTCTCTGTTCCTCTCAGAGAAAATTTTGAGGAACAAGAAATAATGTTCAATTTCTAAGTGAATCTCAGATACCTTCTTTTCACTACTGTTATTATGTAATTTGAATGTAACTTGTATACAGGCATTTTCTTCTTTCCTACCCTGCATCAAGTTAAAAGCCTTTAGKTTTCCAGTCTAGAAGCAATAGCTCCAAAGTGTTCTTTATTCTGACTTTTAAAAAAACCACCAAAAATAAACCCTCACGCAACTCTTTTGTGCACAATATTCATTTTGTCACCTAGTATTTGTTTGAAATAACTATACATACCTTCAAACAAGACATATCTCTCAGATATGAAAGAATTTTACAGCTGACTGCACAAGACTTCTAAACGCTTCAGTAAACTATTTAATACAATTAGTTTCCTGTTATTTCCTGGAGCTATGAGCACTAACAAACAAATTAAGGAGCATTAGTCAGGAATAAGCTCCTTGTATCTTTCAAGAATAAGTTAACTTGKCTTAAAAATCTGGATCTAATCTTAGAAAGTGAACACACTAGTTAAAAAAAAAAAAGCATATTAAAATAAATGAGGYTTAAAGAGTGGATTTTCTAATTTTTACTTTATTTGGTCAAAATCAAAAACTATGCAAAAACRTAGGAGTGATTAAATTCTCTGCTATCATATAAATAAATTCTTCTAGACCTTTAGGATGCTCAATATTTCTTAAAATATACAAGCAATATTTATTTTAGACAATTGGTACAAGGTTTCTTTTTCCTTAATATTCAAGATGTAAATATCAATGTGCTTAACTCACTGTTTTGTGAAGTTTGCCTCCCAGTGCAAGAAATATTTACAAGGTCCATATTTCTTCTTCTCTGAAGGGAACTTGAACAAAACAAAGCACAGAATGAAAACATTAATTGAAATTTCCCAGAAAATAAGCAAAACTATCTCATGAAGTTAAACAAAATTATACACAAACATGGAAATAATAAATTTTAAGTCTTGTGAAGTTTTCTGGTTTAATTTAAAGGTCACACAACAATATGTTTTCCTACCCTTATGATACTGAATACTGCTCTGATYCTAACAGACATCCCAAATTTGGGTTTTGTTTTGCTCTGAATTGACCCTACAAAACATTTAGAATGCTTTGAAGAATGGAGATCCCACAGTTTCCCCCAACCTCTTCCTTCCCTTCTCCTTAACATGATTACCAGTGGCTATTTTAAAAAAGATGCACTGTGAAAATCTAATTTAACATTAAACTGATAAGGGGGCTAAGAATCCAGACAAAACATGCTCCCAAACACTGAAAAAAATGCTGTAAGTTTTTAGTTTCCTAAGGTGAATTATTTCCCCCTACAAAGTTTTAAAACCAAGAGGTAAATGACGTTGCATTGCAACTCCCTGTGACTATCCCTGCACATTTTATACGTAGGTTAGAATGTATCTCCAYACACAGCGGGAAAGTTATTTTATCAGTGGGGCTGTGCTGGCCGCATATATTTCAGTAATTTCATGTATAATGCATTATTGTTATTATTAATATTYCAGCATAAGACAGCTTTACAATCAGAACACAGAAAGAAAAATACATGAATTAGAAAATTTCTAAGCTACCTTTACTACTCTAGCAATCTGTAATAGTTTTTTTTTTTTCAGTCTAGCTCTGACTTCCCCCATTAACATAATTAGCAATTTTTAATTTCACTTTCTCTGCTTAAAATAACAGTTCTCATTAAAAATGAGAAATAATGAAAATAAAGGTTCTCATGCATCCTTATAGAATATTCTGTGGCTGATAAATGTCATGTAAGATCCTTGTAAGTTTTTCTAAGTTTGGTAGGTACTCCATCCTTTGAAGCCAAAGGCAATTGTCTTTTACTAAAATATCCATCTCCTAATTTGTTTCCCCACTTAACATATTGAGAAATTTTATAATTTTAACATAAGCTACTTTGAAACTTTAGACCTACTGTCTCACAAAGTCCAATTTGAATTACTCCTTATTACAAGATGATGTTTCTTAGTGACAGAAGGCAGGCACTCAGGAACTACTATTTTACATAATTTTTAGTGCATGCCTAATTCTCCTTCAAAAGATTTATTGGATAAATTCAAKATAGAAGCCACACCTCATAAAGTTACTTGACATTTCAAGTACTATCCAGGTTACAYAAACTAAGTTCCCCAATGATTATTTTGTAAAATCCTGGTTTTAGAAAACACAGGGTGTTTGGCCAATGAAAGTGGATAATGGCCTAATTCCCATACATAATTGCTTACTCTCCTGAGTTATAATTACAATAAATGCACAGTAAATACTTTAAAAGTCTATGTTTCATCATACATTTTGCCAAAATTGATTTAAAGTTCCATTAGCAAACTAACTTCATGTGTTTGTACTAACCTAATTTTAAAGAACTCAGTATCCTCAAAAAAACCTAATCTAATGTATTTCAACACAGATCAGATTTTTTGATGTTAGGTTGGTATCTTTTAAAGGGTATGAGCACATTAAACTAAATTAAGAGTTACAGATAAACAGCTTTGACTTGAAGAGCTTTTAAAATTATGGGGGGTTTCCTTATGTTAAACAGTGAGTCCTTTGCTTAGTTTCAGGGTGGATTATAAATTCACCAGGAAATCAAAAATAACATATCCACTTAAAAAAAAAAAAAAAAAAAAAAAAAAAAAAAAAAAAAAAAANGAAAAAAAACAAAACAAGACAAAACAAACAAAAAAAATTTTAATAAATCCATATACTTTTCAGAACGTGTATTTAAAAAACAAACAAAAAAAATTTTAATAAATCCATATACTTTTCAGAACGTGTATTTGTAGTGATTATGTACCTACACTTATGTACTCAGGGCATAAAAACCTGCTAATAAGCAAATGGTAGTCTTTTTTTCCCAGCGTTCGAAAGTACAACCTATTTGTCATTTTTGGAAAGCAAAGTTCTAACTTATGTTAATTAAAAATTATCTCAAGATATAAAATATATGAAATAAGCATACTTTGAATATCTGCCTGAAAGATTATGTGTCAGAAAAAAAAAAACCTACAATACAAGCTATAAAATGAGAGCAATTTGACAATGTTTAATAGAATAATAAGTGAGTTATTGTACAAATTGAATACCTGGATTAAAAGAGAGACTGAAATACTGAAGATGTCTTTTGGAGGAAAAAAACTGAAAAAAGTCCTATAACTATATCAATCCATGACTTTTCTTRGCCATTTCAAAAAGTGGCTCTTCTCTTGAATTTTTTCAATTCAAAAACTGAGTACCTCAACCAAAGAAGATATTCTTTGTTTTGCTCTTTAACGGAAGGTTAGTACAAGCAGTCTGCCAATCACAAAGTGCACCAGTTTCTCAAAGACACAGTAATAATTTCAATTACTATTTAATGTTGACTTTGTCCCGACTGCAGAGGTTGAAATTCACTATTTTCATATATTAAGAGGTACCGGATGCAGCTCAGGCTGCACACACTTCTCTAGCACCCCCTATTATGCATAAACAGGATGAAAGGATGTGATGAGGGAGGGACTGGTCTTGCTAAATGCTGAGAGGCTGGAAAGCTAAAACTTTGCACCAAGCTGGTTTATTCAATATAGTCCTGTCATGTTGCAAATAAAATGAGGGAAAGAGGTCAGTGCAAGCAGCCAGTGCTTCAAAGCCTTTACTGGTATTCATCTGCTGAGTRTTTTAAATGAAGGAAGCTTTTGTTTTCAAATTCATTCAAGACATGTTTTCTTTTCTATCCATCTGAAGACCTAACCCTCCCATAATGCAAACACATCAAAACTGCTCTAGCACTCTGTGTGAAAGCTTTGGGGTTCACAGACTGCTAGCAGAGGCAAATTGCCCTGACACTTTACCACAGGAAAAGTGAGGGAGCTGCTTCTCTCTTCCGAAAAATTTATTTTGTGTGACAGTAGAGACACAGAGCAGCACCAGCTCGGCACCTAATTAGCAATCTCAACGACAATGTATGCTAAGAGTCTAAAGGGTATCAGCACCGAGCAAGAAATTCCAACCACAGGATCTGCCAACTGAAGAAAACAAATGGTGCCAGCTCAGGCCAAGCACCATTATCTATTTTATTTATTTATATTTTTCCCCATGTGCAGGATGTTGTCCAGAATTTTGGTCAATTTTTTTCTTATTTCTCTTAATAAAGAATCAGAACAATCCCACTCCTGCATAAGTAACAAAGATGTTGGACATAAAAAAATCTAAAAGAATATAAAATTAATCAGTATGATTTTTTTCTGTGTTTTATTCTCTATCATAATCAGATATTCTCTATAATAATCTATAATAATATATAAATCTGCTTCAGCTTTTTGTTTGAACAGATTGCTACTCAGAATAATGCGAAATAACTATTTCACAGAAGAGTGACTGCTAGATGACATGGTCCAAAGTATCAAAAGCCTCCAAATCTACCTCAAAACTAATTATCTTTACTCTTGTCCTAAAGACACATTAGTGGTTAGCTCCATCCATTGCCAATATTTTCACTATTTCACCCTACAAAAACGTTMAGTTTTTAATGTGGTTTCAAATATCTTTTCAGTGATCTTTACTAATTCTGCAACATCAGAGAGCTCATAATGAATGATATGATAAAGTTTAGCTGAAAAGAATCTAGCATAACTACACATCACTTCAATACTGAGCAGTAAAAACGAGTATTAAAATCTGCACAATAACTGCACTATCAAGAATATTGTGTAGTTGCCACTTTTTTCTTTTTTTTTTTTTTTTTWAATTCTGAACACCCCTTCCCACCATACTACAGTGATACTACACCAAAATTCCATAATTCAAAAAAGAAATTTTTGACTTCTAAAGTACTATGGTGTTTTGCCAGCTGACAGCATGCTTTATTCCAGGCAAGAGTCAGGAGCARAAGTGAGGCACAGGGAAGCAGATAAAATTGCAAGAGTTAAGTGCATTATTAGTAATAAAAAATGACATGGCCATAGCCCTATCAAGGGGCACAAGGAGGCCCACTATATGAACTTCTTGTGCTAAAGGCACATTGGAGATAATGAGAAAAGTGTTCCTTGCATAAAAATTTAATGCTTAATATCCATGAATGACTAGAAAGAAATGCTGAGTTTCCCAGAAGATTTCAGTAGGATTTCTCCACCTCTATGAAACAGCCTTTACACAATGTAATAAGGATGAAACCAGCATCTGTCAATAAGACCAGCTGATGCTCTTTGTCTAYGCAATTCTGTAAAAAAGACAATCTTTCCTGAGGTGCAAGATGCCATTTTGAAGTTCTGTGTTAGWTTTCTGCCCCTATAAAAAGGATGTCAGAAAGGTTATCAAGAATATTTCTGTGAAGCTGAAGTTCTGCTACGAAGTCCTTGCTTAGCCTGGATCTTCCTGGTCCCTCAGGATTTCCATATTGCTATAACTGGAGCATACAGATGAAAAGAARAAGCTGGGGCTCACAAATCAAAATGGTGGCTAATGAAGTTAGTGACCCAGTCACATATCAATCACTAATAGACTGGGATTTGGAGGATYTACTCCAATGGTGAGAAGATTACCAATATAGCATATTCTCTCCTCCGGATGACTGAGATTTTAGTATCTAGTTGTTATTATCTCTTAGGTTGAGAATCCCATTTTGTCTCAGCATGAATAGCTTTATTAAATGAAGAAGGGRTAATCGCTCTACAAATGTTAGTATAAATCTGCTTCTCACAATAAGATACATATATGAAATTTCAAAGAGTGCATTTTTTCTGTCATTTAGAAGACACCAACGAAGCAATTTGGAGGGTACACAAAAAAATCTCTAATTGTTGCAAAGAATCTTTGACTCTCCACCAGTTCAAACAATTGTATCACAAGATTTAGCTTTGACTTCTTTCAGTTATTTTAAAGAAACTTATAAATGCTGGGAAACCCCTGCATTTAGAGCATGTATAAACTTGATGATGTTTCTAACTGCTGAGATATGCAGATGAAAAACACAAGATAAATACAAAACATTCTTAGACATGCCTCTTCCAGGCATAGCTAGTGGTTTTAAAAAATTAATAAATAAAATGCAACCTAATGATTTGGATATGGCTATACCAACAAAACTTTGCATATGACTTTGCATGCATTTTTCTTCTGTTTAAGGCACTTGGCCAGCATTATGACTAAAACTTTTCGTAATAGATCCAAAAATATTATAAATTAATCTGTGTGGAGACTATTTTTTTGCTTACAGTCAGTAATATTGTATTGTGATTGACCACATATACAGTGCCTATTATTTGTATGATTTAAACAATTATATTTTTATTAAGATAGATCTTGAATTAAGTTCCAATAGTAGATATTTTCCTCAACACTCTATCATATTTTTCCAAGATAGCTACAAMAACTAATGCTCATTCAAGAAAATAAGTGCTGCTCAATAATTTGTGGATTCAAATTATGAACTTAATCATTATGAAGGAAGAAAAATATACTTGAATATTTTGAAACAAATTCAAAAATTCCATAAATTCTGAAAACCTTACACACTTACTGTTTTTTTCCTCCTTTTTCCACTGCTGTTTTCCCTTGCTGGAATGTTTCAAAAATATTTTTATACTACAAATATCATTAATAGCTAAGGTTTTGCTGTTATGAGCCCACCAGAAAAAGCCAACACATAATATGACAAAATGCTTGCCTTCATTCTCCAAAGTTAACAATTAAATGACTAACAGTACAGAAATTAACCCAAGAGCCACCTTGAAGAAAGTTTTTGCTAATGTTTTAAGCATGCATATATATATATATATATATATATATATATATATATATATAAATAAAATATGTATATTATGTAGTTTTCAACAACAATTATATCTAAAGCAATAAAGATTCCTTTCCTTAATACGGAGATGCAGAGAAATTGGGGAGGTTATAAGGACATCCTGTTCTAAAGTTTCCCTCTATACTCTCATTTTTGCTTTTTAATTACATTGAAGCTTAATCCTCCTTAAAGTTTTTTGGCAATATGCATATCAGATCCTGTGTATTCACAGCACATGTTTAAAAATCCACACCAAAAAGGACATTAAAAAAAGAAAGAAAAATATCACGAAAACCCAAACCCCAAACCGTAAGTTCTACAATGGCAGAAATGTCTCATTAATAATAAACAGCAATTACCTTGATGAAGCTTGAACTTTGCTTGATTCGGGAATTTCTGGTACAGGTCGATGCCTTAAGATAAAAGATCGGCTTGCTCTTGGAAATACTTTCATGCARTTTAATGTACAGGAACCATATAAGTCATTGTCTATCATTTCTCCTTTAAACTTATAGAAAGGAGTATCTGGCTTGCTATCAGACAAATCACTCTCATCTGCAAACCTCTGATGTTTGTTTTCGTTGTGTTTTGTCTCGCATGAACGAACAAATGAAGGAGGATCACGAAACACCAAAGGGCCAGTCAAGTGCTCATCAGCTTKGTATGCAGCAGCTTCTGTCAGTGATGCATCTGGCTGAGTATTCCTCTTGATACTTCCACTTTGACTGTCAGCCTTCAGCATGCTGTCTGAATTCTGGTATAARCTAGAAAAGTCTGTAAAACTATCATCATTTGCCTCCGTTGACTTTTGCTCTGCAAGTTCGAACTTTTCCTTATTAACATAAGATTTATTAAGTTGTTCTGATGATGTTGCAGGTATAAAGCCACTCCCCTCTACACTTGAATTGCTTACAGGAGACTCCTGATCTRAGGATGAATATTGCTTCTCTGCTAAACCTTTCAAGTCTTTCAAATTTTCACCGAAAAGAGAATTTCCTTGCATTTTCGAAAGACTGTTGTCCAACTGCTTAAGAATCCTTCTGCGATGCCCTGTAGGCAACACTCCCATTTCCTGAAGCACACTGTTATTTATTCCCACACAATCAGCCACAATGTTATAGCCATATTTTTTAAAGTGAGGAAGATACTGCACAAGGTTAATGTTGTCCAAAAATTCTTCAATATCAGCGCCATTGCTGGTGGATGACATGACTTCATTCCGTATATTGCCCCACACAGTCATGTGGCAATAGTCAGGTTGCATACATGTTCACTTGCAAGAGAACTCTCTTAAATTTGGTGTCCACCAACCAGCAGAAAATATCTGTTTGCTCACAACACCTCTTCAAGTTTCTTCAGCTCAAAGTGATTTTTGTAAAAGACTGCAAACATACRGAAAAGAAAAAGGATATTAAAAAAAATTTCACCTGAATATCACAATTATCTTGAATTAAATTACGAAAGACTGTCACTCGAACAGTGATATTTTCAATTTGTCCGCATAGGAAAATTTCAACAAGGATAAACAGCATAATTTCTCCATCATTTTATCTTAGCCTATATAAAGAAAATAGCAAAATAGAAGTCTCAGTATAAGTAYTGCAGACTTAAAACATATATTCCTAGTAGCTAAACATTAGGATGAACAGTTAAGAGATGAACCACTTACCTACACACACATTCTTATTACACAGTACTTGGATATTGGAAAAAGTTATCCAAGACCAGAACCAGGACCTAAACCTTTCCTATTTCCACATCAGCACCATTTAACTACTGGACAGGATTTCTAATCCCTTGTCTTCTGAACCTCAAACTCCATTTAGCAATGAAACACACTTTCAAATGGAAACAAAGGAAAAATTACCATCTAGAGCATTCTGTGTGAACACTGCATTTAAACCCTCTTCAAATGAGAATCCAACTGAACAAGTGCTATCAGCAACAGTCATCATCAAACAAACTGTCATGCAGGAACACAGCAAACAGTAAACACCAGCACCTCAGCTCTCACAAGGAAGCAGTTTTCCCTTGGCCACAAACAGAAGAGGCATGACCCCATAGCCAAGTTCAGGCTGTCCATGAGKTTTTCCTTAGTATTTTCCAACTCAGCTCTTACACTCTCCCCATTCCATCTATTTGAGTTACTCTTTCTTTCAAGGACATATGTAAATTCTACAAAATCCAGACACTACTGTTCTGAAGGTGTCTGACACAGCCTGAAATCATATTTCGTCAAAGAAGGTTTAAGATCAGCGACACTCAACAGGTTTTTTCACCTCTCTCTATATAAAGAGTAATTTGGCCTTAGGGAAACCTGCTGACTGTAGCAGCTGTCCTGGCACGCAGGTACTAGCTTTAAGCAGACTGGAAAAGAAAGAACGCCTTCAGTAGAAGAGCATTAAGACTTAAGTAGTAATTAGAAACAGGAGAAATCTTATGTCCAGGATTCATCCATGGTAGTAGGCATTGATACTTAATTCTTTAAAGTATTTCCTGACAAAAAAAAAAAGCAGTGTGACCTAGAATTGAAGCTTAAAATTYTGCCTACTTTTTTACTGTACCAATTCCAAAATAAAAGATAAACCCTCTTCCTGTAAGATTTCTGCAATGTCTTTTGAATGTTTAAGTCATGTTTAACTCATTATTCAGAAAGATAGTAATTAATAGATCTCTGTGCCCCTCCTAATTACCCAAAGCCACATGCAGATAAATCTAAATTTAAATAATGTACTGAATGAAGCACAATTGTTATCACTGCTATTGGTGATCATACTTTATTATGATGATGAAATAAATTATTAAATAACTACCTCAATCCCTAGAGGTATTTTCTTGCAAAATTTTGTAAATATCTTTTACTCCCACACGTTCATTAAGTGGTAATCAAAACCAAGGAAAAAACTAGACTCTTCATACTTACACCACATATCCATGTATGTGACATAATAGCAAGAAAAAAAGGAGATGAGCAAACCTAAATAATTGTGGAAGATGCAATAATCAACATAGTAAACTTACTATAAATGTTCCATTATTTAAAATAAGTCATTGGATTCTCTCTAGTCTCCAACTTCATTTCTGTGGAAATTTTTTTATCAGCCTTGATCACTACCCACAAGTCTGAGAAGTGAGTTGTTATCTTGAATATTAAATTGATACAATTGAAATCTTTTGGAGAGAGAACTCTACAGATCAATCAGATATCATCCTCTCAAGAGAGATTAACTTTATTATGGAGTTAACTCTCAAAAAAAGATTCCCCTGATTTAAAGTCAAAAAGTCTGGGATTGATCTAAACTAATTAACAATCTGCTTTCGTATTTACCTTTGTCCCATCCAAACCTGCATGCTTATATAATTGCTCATCATTCCTTTAAAAATTTGGGAACTCAGCATTTCCTCAAAATTTTCATGGGAGCTTCTAGTAATAAAGGATAAAATTCAACAGTATCATCTCCACCCATCTCAAAACACTGGAAAACGTAAATATAAATACATAGTCTCTTATCAATTTGAATATATATTCTCAGATTCTGAGTACAGASCGAAAAAAAATTAGTACTGAAATTACTTACTGAGAAAAAAACTATCAGACTGTTTGGGCCAGAAAATAGTCTTTCAGGTATCCAATAATAAAAAAAAAAAAAACAATCAGACAAGAAAACAAAAAAAAAAAAAGAAAAAAAAAAAAAAAAAAAAAAAAAAACAAAAACAACAAAAAAAGCAGCAACAAAAAACCCTCAACAACCAAGCCACACAAACACATATGTCCAAGTATATAAAACCCATACAGTGTCAGCATATCCATCTATGGCTTTTAAAATTGCAGTGGCAGCTGGTTATCTGAGCCATTTTCACCTTCCTTGACAGTTCTGGGTTTCATGGTAGCATTTGGCTATTTTTCCCCTAAGGTGTTAGTGTTCATTTTCAGACTAKCATTTTCTCAATCCTTCTACCTTTCATAATAACAAAAGAAACATTTGGGAAAGCAGCTTTAACTATATAATTATAAATAAATATATATTTATTTTATATAAACATGTATATTTATACCCACTCAATACTATCTTTTCTACATGMAGTAGCTTTGCTCACACCTCATTCTGGAACACCTCCAGTGTCATTACTTCAGGAACTCAAACAGCCATGTATTATCAGCTATTTGGATTCTAACCCATCTTTGTATAAACCACATACCAATGCAAAGGGTTGCCTAGCAGAGAACAAACTTTGCTCCCAAATCTGTAAGAATGATTACTTTCTGGTGTGTATTTTACSAACAAAGCACGTACCAGAAGAAAGGAACTGCTTGCTGAGAAGACATTTTGACCACAAATGCCAACACTGCAAGAAGATAAAGCCCAAACCACTTTCTGTAGCTGTCTGTGGCAGAAGCTGTCAGTGATTCCATCAGTATTTATAAAGACATGCTATAGATCTGCCCTAGCTATGCAACTTGTTAAATACCAGTGGGATCACATATTATTTTGTGAGTCTCAGCAAAGGGTTATATTAACAACTGGGAATAAGGGTTTCACTACTCACACAAAGAATAAAGTTACAACAGCTAAATAAATCTACACAAATTGGTGAATGTTTTGCATGCTAGAACATAAATACAGAATCACTTCTTAAAATGTTTTTATTCTTACTAAAGGCTCGAGCTCAAGAAGCATAAAGAAATGCAGAACTATATTAATCTGTTTTGATAGATTATCAATTTTAAAAAGAATTTCATTTCCTCCTTAGTTTTGATTACAAAATAAGTCATAATAAACCCTAAAGAATGTACAATATTAGATATCAAGTGCATATATATGACATATACACATTTGTATGAATACTTTCATTCTCTCATATCCATATTTGTACCACTACAAGTCTAAGTAAACATTAGTGCACGTGGTTGCATACATTCTGTAAAACAAATCTTCTCTCAGAAGCAAGGTAAAATACATAGAAATAAATAGGAAAAAATAAAAAAAAAAACCACCCCAAAACAACGAACCAACAAAAAACAGAAGGGAAATTTGAACTTGCTTATACTCTCCTCTATAGGGCAACCAAGACAAAAATTACCATTCTCAATATGGTTACTAAAAATCGGAAAATACTATAGTGGTTATATTTTTAAAATAAATAAATAAATAAATAAATAAATAAATAAATCAAACTTCTTGGAAGACACCTGACCATTATATTTTATGAAAATAAGGATAGAATACCTTAATTGCTATGTGGAAAACGCAATACATGGAAAATCATTCGGGCTTTTCTTCTAAGGAAAAAGTTTCAGCACGGGATGAATTGCAATGTGTGTTGCACATCCCAAGCCTTCTATGGGATCATCCAACTTTTTCTCACAGAAGGTGTTTCTCACACGTCTTTACAAACAGATTTTCAGTTTCTTCCTTCTCCCATCTTATGGAAGTGACTTAGACAAGGAGTGGAAAAAAACCTCAGTATAGCCCAACAGTTCTTTTGTTTTACTAAAAGTGACAGTACAAAAATAAAATGCAACTGTAATGCTCAGGACTCTTCCTCACATGGAGGGTAAGTACCTGCATCTATCATTCTGAAAAGCTATTATAAAATTCTATAAAGGTATTTTACTAATTTTAAAATTCTTCCATTCTGTGAATTTCAAGTTGAAAAGTCTTGACGACAAAACTGACTGGGAAATATACAAATCTTTGTTGAAGCAAGCAAGCAAACCAAATTTTAATAATGAAATATGTAAACAGTAGGCTATAGGTGAACACAGAAACACTCAAGTGGGACTAGTTTTTTTCCTTTTTTTAATATCAATACAGATAGAAGGCTGAAGAAACTGTTAAACCCTTAGAAGTGCATGGCAAGATAATCACACTTTAAGCAATCGTACAACAAACACAAGCAAGTTCAGGCTTGCTCCCAACTTCTGCTAAACCACTTTCTAGATTAAGAGCTAA